ACAGTGACTCTGTATTCCTTCCATCTGATTTTGAGGGTTTCTGCATCATGCAATATTTTGCCCATTTGTTGTTGTTAGGTGCCATGGAGTTGGTACCGACTCATAGCGACCCTATGCACAACAGAATGAAATACTGCCCAGTTCTGGGTCAACCTCATATACTTGACCCTGTTGTTGCCATGTTTGACCCCATTGATGCTGCCACTTTGCCAGTCTATCTCACTGGGTGTCTTCCTCTTTTTTTCTGACCCTCCACCGTACTGAATATGATATCATTCTCCAGTGACTGGTCCCTCCTGACAACCTGTCTAAAGTATGAGAGATGAAATTTGGCCATTCTGGTCTCCATGGAGCACTCTGGCTATACTTCTTCCAACACACATGTTGATTCTTTTGGAAGCCTATGTCACTTTCAATATGCTCTTCCAGCACCATAACTCAAAAGCATCCATTCTTCTACAGTCGTCCTTATTCACTGTTCAGCTTTCGCATGCATATGAAGCTATTAAAAATACCATGGCTTGGATCAGGCACACCTTAGTCTTCAAGCTAACATCTTTGCTCTTCAACACTTTAAAAAGGTCTTTCTTGTGCAGTAGATTTGCCTGATGCAATACATCGTTTGATTTCTTGACTGCTACTTCCATGAGTGTTGATAGTTGATCCAAGAATGAAGTCCTTGTACAACTTCAATCATTTCTTCATTGATAAGAATGTTGTTTATTGGTCCAGTCATAAGGATTTTTGTTTTCCTTACATTGAGATGCAATCCATACCTAAGGCTGTGCTTTTTGATCTTCATCAGTAAATATTTTAAGTCCTCTACACTTTCAGCAAGCAAGGTTTTATCATATGCATATCGCAGATTGTTAAGGAGTCTTCCTCCAATCCTGATGCCATGTTTTTCTTCCTATAACCCAGTTTCTCCTATTATTTGTTCAGCATATAGGTTGAATAAGTATGATGAAAGAATGCAACCCTGTCCCACACCTTTCTTAATTTTAAACTGTTCAGTGTTCCCATGTTCTGTTCGAACAACTGCCTCTTGGTCCATGTACAGACTCCTCATGAGCACAAATAAGTGCATTGGCAACTCATGCCTTGACTTTTTTTTTTTTTTTTCTCAGACATTTAAACTTGAGAAATGCTGAGCACGTTCTTCCCTTTGAGTTTTCTAACTCCAGATCCTTGCACATGTCATCATAATATTTGACTTTGTCTTCTCAAGCTGCCCTTTGATGAAATTTTCTCTTCAGCTCTTGTACCTCCTCACTTACGCCATTTGCTTTAGCATGTCTATGCTAGACAGCAAGTTTCAAAGCCTCATCTGACATCCATTTTGTTCTTTTCCTTCTTAATGACCTTTTGCTTTCTTCCTGTATGATGTTCTTGATGTCATCCTGCAACTCCTCTGGTCTTTGATCTCTAATGTCTAATGAATCATATCTATTCTTCAGATGATCTCTAAACTCAAGTGTGATAAATTGAAGGTCATATTTTGACTCTCATGGACTTGTTTTATTTTTCTTCAGCTTCAGCCTGAATTTGTTTATGAGCAATTGATGGTATGTTCAATAGTTAGCCTCTGGCTTTGTTTTGGCTGATGATATGGAGCTTTTTCATGGTCTTTTTCCACATATATATTCATTTTGTTTTATACTTATTCCATATGGTGATATGTATGTGCATAGTTGTCTTTATGCTGTTTAAAATAGGTATTTGCCATGAAGAAGTTGTTGGTCTTGCAAAATTTTATCATGCCATCTCCAGCATCCTTTCTGTCACCAAGGCCATATTTTCCAACCATTGATTCTTCCTCTTTGTTTCCAACCTTTGCATTCCAATCACCAGTAATTAATAATACATCTTGATTTAATGTTTGATCAATTTCAGACTAAAGAAACTTGTAGAATTCTTCAATTTCAGCATCACTGAATTTAGTGGTTGGTGCGTATTCTAGAAGAATTGTTGTATTAACTGCTTTAAATTGGAGGCTTATGAATATTATCCTGTCACAGAGAGTACTGTACTTCAAGACAGATCTTGACATGTTCTTTTTGATGATGAATGTGATGCCATTCTCTTCAATTTGTCATTCCTGGCATAGTAAACCATGTGGTTGTCAGATTCAAAATGGCAAATAACAGTCCATTTCAGCTCACTAAGCTTAGGATATCAATGTTTATGTGTTCCATTTCATCTATGATAACTTCCAGTTTTCCTAAATTTATACTTTGTATATTTCATGTTCTGATTATTAGTGGATGCTTATAGCTGTTTTTGTTCATTTTGGGTTATTCCCCATCAGCAAATGAAGGTCCCAAAAGCTTTACCCATTCACGTCATCACAGTCAACTCTATTTTGAGGAGACAGCTGTTGCCCAGTCATATTTTGACTGGGAGCCTTCCAACCTGAGGTGCTCATCTTTCAGCACTACATCTGACAATATTCTAGTTCTCTTCATCATTTTCAATATTCTGATATTATCTCATAAAATACTGCTATTTATAAGGTTTTCAGTGACTAAATAATTGAAAGTACTCCATTACTCCTTCTTCTGTCTTAGTCTGGAAGCTCATCTGAGACACATGGGTGACCCTGCTGGTATTTGAAATAGTGGTAGCATAACTTCCAGAATCACAGCAAAATGCAAGCCACCACAATACAATAAACTGTGGATCCCAACTCTTACTGATCTATTTGAGTTACTGATGAGTAGCTGGTTAGTTTGAACTGCTGACTTTACAGTTAGCAATCCATTGTTTATTCTACAACACCACACCAGGACTCCACCTACAATTCTGAAGGCAGTATTTCCATCTATTATATATTTGCCAAAAATAGTCTTTGAGTTTTATCACATTAATCTGTCATTTCAGGCATCCTTATGGGACACACATCATGATCCTTAACAATGGTCTTTGAATTTGGTGAATAAAAATGAAGGTTGAAAGGGAGCAAAAGTCTGAAAGCTGTAGGCTAGATAGGGTAAGGTTTTCCTACAACATTCTTATAGAACAATCCCTTTTACCCTATAAGAATGACCAGGTGTATAATCATGATGGAGGGCAAAAAAGTCCCCAATGTAATTTTCTTAGCCTTTTCATTGCCAGTGCACTTTTTATTTTTTTCAAAAAATACTTCATAATAATTCTTCATGATTGTATTGAGTCTTTCGAGAAAACCCTATCAAGACTACATCCTTGAAATCCTAAGAAAACAGTTGTCATAGCTCTCTGAGCTGGCATTTCACTCTTGATTTTATCTGGACCAACAGATCTCCTCAGAAGTTACTGTTTAGATTGGACCTGTTTTTTTAATTTGTTTTGTTGTTGTTGTTTGAAGGCACCAAAACACCTGACCCAAGTCATGGTATTTTTAATCAGCTCATGCATATGTGAATGTTGAAGAATGAGCAAGGAAAACTGTAGAGGAATTGATGCATTTGAATTGTGGCATTGGTGACGACTATTCAGAGTGCCATGGAGTGCCAGAAGAACAAACAAATCTGTCTTAGAAGTACAGCCAGAATGCTCTGTAAAAGCAAGGATGGCAAGACTTTGTACATGTCAAAAGGAACTAGTCCCTAGAGAAATTCATAATGCTTCGTAAAGTAGAGGGTGACCAAAAATTAAAAAGGAAGACATAATGGAGCCAAAAACGAGTTAAAAACTAACAACAATTGTGAGGATGTTTTAGAACCAGATTAGTCTGTGTTTTATTCTGCTGTGCATGGGATTGCTATGACTTGGAACTGATTTAATGGCACCTATCAGAACCGACTCGACGGCACTTAACAACAACAACAACAACAACAATGCCAGAATAAAACAATTGAATCACTGAGATAAAACTTGTCTGCAACCATTCACTGATCAAAGAGGCATGTTTAAATAGGTTTTCTTTTAAATAAACCCCTGTATGCATGAAATAGATCCTAGTAGCAATACTTTTTTACTTGGCTTCGCATATCATTAATCATACTTTTGGCTATTGAAACATTAAATATAAAACTAGACTTCTATTATGTAGTGGTTACGAATCGGGCTGCGAACCTTAAGGACAGTGGTTCGAAACTACCAGCCGCTCCGCGGGAGAAAGATGAGGCTTTCTACTCCCGGAAGGATTTACACCCTCGGAAACCCTGTACAGGGTCGCTATGGGTCGGAACCGACTCGACGGCACTTAACAACAACAACAAC